AATGTCACTGTTCACACTGTCATGTAAAATAAAGTCATTTCTACAGCCAATTCTCGAATTACAATCTCCTATTAAATAAATTCTGCCTTTACTTTCAAAGCTATATATGTCATTTTGTATAATATCAAATAGGTCAACATTATGCACATCATACGCTGGCGAATCCTCACACCATATGTACACACAACATATGTAAACATCTTCTTGAAACTTGAAAAATGTTTTATCTAGCTTAATCCATACTATAGTATCATAATGGTTTTTAACAATATTAATACCACCTTGTAAATAATCTCTATAATATAGCGCAACACCTCCGCTGCTACGCTTGGCTCTTCTGTGCTTGAATTTTCTATAATTGTTATGCGAAATAAAGCCTGATATATCGATGTTGCTGTTTTTGTTGCACCAAGTTTCACATAAAAATATAATGTCATGTTCAATAATCGAATAAATAAAATCCTGGTTACTCCTTTTTACAACGGAAAGAATGAAAGAATTTTTTAACGACTTCCCCGTTCATAGACTTTGCCTAATTTCATATTATTTTTACATATTATTTTACATGCAAACTGTAAAAATTACAATTACTATTTGATATGATTGAATAAGATAATATATGGTAACATAACAAATTAATATACATGTTTATCAAATTTTGAAACTTTACTTGCTTGTTTTTTTCCTTCTTTTCAATCCCTTTAATAGAGAAATAAATTTTTGTTGTAAATGAATAAATTAATATACTGACTTTTTGTTTTTTGTAACAATAAACATGAGGGGTGAATTGTCTTATTTATTTTTTTTTTGGGGGGTGAACTGTCTTGAGGAGTGAGTTGTCTTGGTTTTTTGTGGGGTGAATCGTCTGGGAGGTGAGTCGTCTTGTTTCCCTGTCAAAGTATAGGTGCCGTTTTTCTATGGCTACCATAAACCTTATGATTAAATTTATTTTACGATTTAAATGTGACTATAGCAATAAGCAGATTTTTCAAATATAAAATTTGATCATTATAAATCTTTAAATACCTGTTTTCCACTCGAGTAGATCTATCTGTTAACTTTTTTTTTTTTTACAAAATTTCGATTACAAATGGTGGAATTTAGCAAAGGGACTTAACTCGAAACGTCCTGTTTGCAATTATTCGCCTCGCAAACAATTCGCCCTAGTTTATCTTTTCATTCACTGGGATTGTAATCCAAACAATTTGGGCTTATTTGCATAAAATTGGTTGGCCTTTTTATCAATAACATTAATTGTGTAATTTGTAGATACTGGGAGCAAGTGATATTTGGTTTAACCAGGAACGTGCATATCATGCAGCCCAGGGAGTACTTAAGTTTATCAGAAAATATTTAGATATATAAAATCATACATGAATTAGATTTTTATTCTTCTTGATAAGTGATCCTTTTCCCAGACTGTCGGTCAAAAATTTATTTCTTAAGATACAATTAAAATGCCATTTTTTAAACTATTTCCATTGTTTGCCAATTTGGGTGATTTCAGAGAAGCAAACGGCATAAGAAGTATCACGGTAATTCCCAAAAATGGATCAAAGACAAAAATGGTCGGGTTGCATTTCGATATAGATGGATACCGAAAATAAGCTATTTTAGCGAAAATATAAGATCGCGTCTACGAAAATAATTTTTTTTTTAATTGTACATAAATCTATTTAATAACTATGTTAATTATATATTTATGCATTGTTTGAATGATTTTACAGCAAAATATTGAATTTTCATAACCAAAAAAATATCTAAAAATGTGAAGTTTGAGTCGAAAAATAGCTACCTACGAAAATAGCTCAAATCGCCGTGTGACGCGAAAATAAGAATGGGTCTACGAAAATAAGATTTATTTTTGGTATAATTTATTAAAACGTATTTTTCTTGTTATTAAATGAATTGCATGACTGAAATAATAAGGAACGAAATGTTTTAAAATGAAATATTAGAAGTGTGTTCGATTAATATAAATAGTATAGAAAGAACGCATGCAAAAATAACTCAAGGTGGCGACTACGAAAAAAAGATATTTAAAAATGGTTCTTAACTTTTATTAAAATCGTTTTAATTGCAAATATGATTCAATTTGTAAGAATTTTATAATAAATAATAACAGTGCAAAAATAACAAGAAACAACGATTACAAGAATAGGATTTACCGTATATAGAATATTTACGAAAAAAATCTATGCAGAACTCTACGAAAATAACATCAGTAAGGAAATAAAACTTGTATGAATATGATGTACATACAAAAATAAGGTAAGTACGAAAATCTGGTATAAACGAAAATAATTTTATTTATTTGATACATTAAAGTAAGTTATTTACATCCGCTTTTAACGGCGATTTGAGCTAACTTCACTTTTTAAAATATTTTTTTTTGTTCTGAAATTTTAATTTGCTGTAAAATCATTCAAAGAATGCAAACATTAATATATAACTAACATTATTAATTTAACAGATAAATGCACTATTTCAAAATTAAATCTTATTTCCGTAGCCGCGATCTTATTTTCGCGAAAATAGCTTATTTTCGGTATCCATCTATACCCTGCTGTAATGTTACGAAAAAAATTACCACTGACCATTAATGTGGAAAATTTAACTAATTCGGTAAAAAGGAAGTGGATGAGCGACAGACCTGGAATCGAATCCCAATGTATGGGGCAACATGTTAGTGCTGTATGCCAAATATCAAGAGGCTGTGATAAGTAGTTACTGAGAAAATTGTTACGCAAATTTCCAACCATTGACCATAACTGTCAAATTTAACTAAGTCAGCAACAGTCCTGAAATCGAAACCCACAGTTTGGGACCACGTGTCAAATATGCTGTATAGGCTGTGATAAGTAGTTGCAGAGAAAACTGTACTATTGACCATTAATGTCGTAAATTTAACTTATGAAATTTTAGTTAGCCAGCTAACTTGCAATAAAATTCAAGCTAATATGAACAGTCAATATTATAGAATAATTGATTATAACATAATATGTCTGTTGACTGTGTAAAAACAATAAAAACTATTGGGGGAAAAATTAGTCAAATATGAAGATATAATAAAATAGATTTTTATTATAAGGAATGAAGTCACTATTCATAAACTTAAATTTATTGACAGATGCTATGCGATTTAGTGTCACAGTTTTAAGAAAAGCATCAAAATGTGTTGCTTTCATATGCAGTCACGGAAAATGTTTGTACTGTACGTAATATTATAGAACCCATGATATCATAGGAACTAAGTATACCTTTGTTTATTAGTTTGTTTGAATATTTTACGCCTGTTCCCAACAGTTTTTCAGTCATATAGGCGGGTTGATTCTTAACCATCGTTCCTGGAGAGTTACACCAGTACTAGACTACCTTCCTCCGCGCTAAACTACCAAAGCATCTCCCGGGGATCGAACCCACGCCAGAGAGGTAACTGGATTAGAAGTCATCGACTCTAACCCCTCGACCACGGAGGCGGTCAGAACTTATAATTTAATACTAGTCTAATCTGTATACATACTTTTATTTAACCAAATAGTGAATTAGATTGATATTATAAATAAGTGAGTTTACTTTTATTTCTACATACTTGTTTGTTTATTTTCCCCAGATAATGAGGTAAACATTGTTGACAATTAATGGTATTTTCTAGTAATTGTATATAGGCAGTGATTACAGACAGGACGAACCTTGAGACAGGGCTGACTGTATGTTTGGACAGGGCTTAATTACTATATTTTGGGACAGGCGGCCGTGACTTAATGTAATAAAATAAATAAATATTGATGTATTTTTTTTTCTTTTAATGTTTTTATAAAGATATACATATATATCAATGCAGTTAATAATTAAGCAAAACAAATTTTAATAATCTATTGCATTCTTCAAACTGGTAAGTTATATAAAACCAGCTTGACAGCTTCCAATGCATGTATTGTCTTATTATGTCACCAGCAAAAACATAAGTCTCCCTAATCATCACAATGATCACTCCTGTGAATTTTAGTCAAAATCCCACCAGCAGTTTGACTTTTGAAAGCTGGACAAGAGTTTTCTATTTATAGCTCTTGCGACCATTTTGTGTAGCAAAGTAGAACAATGCCGGCAATATGCAAAAATAGGGATGGCACTAACCACTCCTGTAAAGTTTCATTAAAATCTCACGAGCATTTTGACCTCTGAAAGCCAGACAAGATTTTTTTTTTATTTACAGCTCTAGCAGCCATTATATTCAGTGAAGCAGAATGTGACGGCTATATGCACCTCTTGGGATGGTTGTGATCACACCTGTGTACTTCCATTGTAAACGCGACTTGGCGCGCACTGACTTCATTTAAATGCGCGATCTGCATAAAAAATCACGCAATCGCGCGGCCTAGATGCAACACTGAATTGAGTGCGGTGCTCTAACACTTTATTTAGTCTCACTCTATGTTTTATTTCTCAAAAACTTTATACTTTAGTATCTTGTTCTAGTTTCCAAAAATTTATCATTTATCATAAAGATGAAAACATGTTTGACATATCTAAGAATAAACAAAAATACAGATTTCTTAGGCATAATGTGCCTTCAAAGTGACATGAACACCCTGGAGTAAAATAAAAGACAATATGCAAAGTGGCATTTTGCCTATTCAAGAGTAAAATAAAGTGAGTGTGAAGTTACAGTTTAAATAACTTAAAATTTTTGCCAGTAACTTTTATCTTTCACAAATAATTCATATGATTCCCTGAAATAACTAGCAATATCCTTCAGAAAACAACATTGCAATGTTTCGGAGTGCTTTTATCATTAACAGATTGCTGATCTACAAATGTATATCATCCAATGAAATGCTGCTAAAATCGGTATTATCAGTTTGTTGGTATAATGTCCCCGGTGACCCTTGGCCAAATCAGTTGTTTTCATTGGCACACCAGTTGCATCAGGTAAAAAAATAAAAATTATGTAGCTAATTCAGACAGCTCAATATGACAGTCATAAAATTTAAGGATTTATAGAGTTTTTGTCTCTACAGTATGAGACTGTACTAGATGACATTTCTTCTTCTTATGATTCTTTAGCAAATTTTGCGAAAGAAAATATTTATTGCATAGACCACAGTTAAACAAATTTTCCCCAGTGTGCACACGCAGGTGTTGTTTTTTCATTCCATTTGTTTTGAAGGATTTATTACAGAGATGACACTTGTATGAACCAACACTTATGTGAATTCTAGAATGTGCTTTCAATGCCACATGATATGTAAAACTCTTTGTGCAGCTACCACACTGATAAATCTTATGTACTTTGTGATTATACTGGTGCAGTTTCAAAATGGACGAATTAAGAAATAATTTTCCACAGACTTCACACAGCAAAGAACATTTTTTAATATGATTTAACTTATGTTTTTTAATATGATTTAACTTATGTTTTTTTAGGTCCAATGAAAATTTAAAGTACTTATTGCAATCATCACATTTAAACAAGTGTATTTCACGCACATGGGCAGCAAGATTTGTTACTGAAGCAAAGTCTTCCTTGCATAACCTACAAAAGAATTTCCCACCAACAACATGCTGCAGACGCGTGTGCTCTCGATAGGAACTTAGTCTTTTAAACTTTGCCAAACAAACTTCACAAGTAAACGGTTTTACCTTGGAGTGAATGACACAGTGATACTTTAAGTCTGATAAACGTACAAAAGTTTTTTTGCATACACTGCACATGTAAGGCTGTCCGTCTGCGATGATTTCATAACCGGTATGACTTTTCATGTGAGCCTCCAATGTCTCTTTATTGGAACACGATACCTTACATATTCCACAAACATATGGAAGTGAAATGGGTTTCAAATTGAAAACACTCCGTTGATCCATGGTTATTGTGTTAATGCAAACCACTTTTAGATTTAGATAAAAATGCACAACAAATGACACATTCTTCTTTTTCTATAAAAGTGGCTCCCAATCTACAATATTTGCTAATCTTACATTTAGTCTCTTTTTTTCAGTGCAAATCTGTCAGAATCTCTTATTTAATTATGAAAAAAAGTTCACAAAACCCAAAACAATTTTGTTTTGTAAAAATGCACCAGCAGCTGACAGTAAAATCCCATGTACAATTTTCCTAATCACTGCCACACAAATCAAGAACATAACATTTTTTGTTGTTAAATTTCTTTTTCATTACTCAGTGTTCTGGCTTGTAAAGTCATATACTAATCATTTTCGCTTCTTCTTTCAATGTAGCTTGTTTTCAGTTTTACCACATGTGCTTGCAGTTGTTGCATGCCTTTCAGGACTTATTTCATTCTTTCTACCAATTGAAATGAGTTGTGTTTTTGTTCAAACAAGATGATGTTTTTACTTCACTTCTGATCACAGCATAGAGATATCACATCAGGAATGCTGACACTGAGACCGGCCCATATTTATCTGAAACAGAAAATATTCAAGATTCATTGAAAAATTTATATTACAGCCAAATAAGAAGCTCTAAAAATAGAAAATTTTCTAATCCAGATCCAAAATCCCTTGCACGAGATTGATCAATTTCCAACATTTTGTCTAATGAATAACCAAATGTGTCAACTTCTGAATCATTACTGCCTTTTTGTCACATTTTTGCATTTTATTTTATTTGTTATTTCTTTTGATTACCATAACATATGGCAGCTAAGGGACCAAAATTATTGTATAATTTTTGCCAAACCACAGGCAGTTAGTGCGTGGCTTGGATAGTATTCATGAAAATGACTACGCCCACTTTATTTCACTTATAAAATATTTCTTTTCACTCAAAATGTGTTAAAAACATCTTATAAATAGTATATGTGGATGAATTTTTAAAAACAACTTTCCTTTGTTGTTTTACTGAAAATAAGATGTTTGAAGGTGATTCAGCTTTGTCAGCCATGTTTGTTTTCACTAAGTCTGTCCAAAGTGAAAGTAGGCCCAAACTAACATAGCAACAAAGCTCTCAATGTAATATGATGAACCATTTGAAAGTACACTTCCAGGTAACTTTAAGGCCTACAATAAACAAATTTAACAAAAATAAAAATGATAACAATAAGAACAGGAAGTGGCTAGCCGTACCGGCCCGTACGGCTAGCCAAAAGTTCTAGCCATACGTGAGTCACGTACGACTAGCCAGGACACACTGTATTGGCTAGCCATACGGCACTTAGGCGAAAGTGCATATGTTTATTATGACTTAAAGCGAGGATCAGAGTTTTTAATGGAATTTAAATTTTTGAACAACTTTGAAAAGGGTCCACCTAAGGATCATTTCTGTAAAGTTTGGTTGCAATTGGCCATGTAGTTTAGGAGGAGATGTTGTTTGAAAAGTTTGACGCCATTTTTTGAAGGACGCACGACGGACGCAGAGTGATGACAAAAGCTCACCTTTGAGCACTTCGTGCTCAGGTGAGCTAAAAATGATAATAAGAAATTTACCTTGAATGGGCTACATTTCTGAAGACTAAAACCAAACAGACTTTAAAAAGGATTTTGCCATTCATGAAATGTGCATAAAACTTTGCAACAAGAATGTTTTCACGGTGTCAAGGGTATACGCATCATTTTTCCGCGTACCGTCGATAATTTATCATCCTGTGCGCAGCACCGTATCATTTTAGACAAAACAAACACTTAAACACAACATGCATGATGGAAAACGACCTGAAAGTCAAACTTTTGAAGTAAGTGTATTCATAAAAGTGTGTCTACGGAATAATATGATCATTGAAGCTTATGTCTTTACCTAATTTTTATCAAAGACTTGTACGATTTCTTTGTTTTAATGAAAACAGCTAGAACTGGCTTGGGGAAAATGATCATTTGGAAAACTTTTAAAAGGAGAAAATTATGTTGTCAATCAAAATATTTATTTGATATAACTGTAAGCATCAAAGATATGTATACAAAAAATATTGCACACAAATTTAAGCTGTTTAATTTCTTAAAAAAGTCATAAAAGCGTGACAACTGACCGAGTTCTTGGTACCGTATCATGGGTCCGCACCGAAAATTGTGGCACCGTATACATTTGCGCTAGACTTGCACCGCATAATGATGATTAACCTAACGATGAATAATCTTATTTGTATTTATTTATTGTTGCCCATCTGGGCGAAGCATGTAGATGTATATTAATTATTTACAAAGCGGAGGAAAACGCATAAATACTCGTCAGTTCTAAAAGCAAACCTGGTTCTTTGTGTGTCCGGCGTAAACACATGAGACCACGGTCACATTCGAAAGAATCTGAGTCTTTACTTTATTATTAACCTGAGTGCAAATTGCTGACTTTATTATGCATGTAAAGAAGCAAGTTTATAGTGAAAATGTTATGTATATTTAACACAAATATGCATATATCATTGTTACCATTTTATACATACTCTTTGAGATAGTGCTTACGGAGAGAGTTTCTAAAAAAATCAAGCTTCCTACTCAATCCGTGCAATTTAATATTTGTCAATTATCATGTTAATGAAATGTTTATATATAAATTATTGTTATAACTAAAGAATTTGTGTAAATACATTGGAAGCCGAGACTTATAGACTGAAACGGCGGACTTATAATTCTGGCATCGCTTGTCAGGCGCCATGTTTCCTTGAGCAAGAATCTTAAATTGTTGTGGTAAAAGTTATCTATAAGTTTTATAATAGTCTATCAATAACTGGAACTACAAGGAGATAAACAAGCATTCCGACACAAATATGGATACAGTACGAGTTTTCATTTTACAGACTTAAGAAGACAATTTTGAAGAAAATACGAGTAACTGTATCGTGTAATTGTAAAGAACCGATAAATTAATAAACACATTTAATTATAAATAGATCTATGTCATGTTCACGTTGAAAATATAAAACTATAGAAAATATTTGCAAGGCCTTTAAGCTTTGGGCAGTGACAGGTGTAGGTAAATTGTATTCGCACGGAACTTTCGTGCACTTAGTCAATCGGACATAATTCACTTTCATTCATGATAAATAATGTTAAAATGGCTGTTATCAATTAACAGAATGTAAAATTTACTAAAATCGATTATGTCAGTCAACATTGAAATCGTCTCTAACTTGTTTTGCGTCAATGTTATATGGATTACGTTTTGGACCCCAAGTTTCCTTATTCACATGCTTACCTTAACACAATATTCAGCCGTTTATTGCAGTTGATTTTTGTGTGTGTGGGCCGGTCGGTACAGTAAATGTCACGTTATTGTTGTTTTTTATAGAATAGTTATTCGTCAATGCTAAAATGAACAGTTACATTGGTCCTGGAAATGGCCCTCCAATTTCTCGATAAATTGGATATTCTCATGAGATGCGTACTACTTTCTATCGGTTTCTATAGTGTTCTGTTTGAGGCAGTTAAAAATATCGCCAGTTAAGATTTACTAAATCTCTTGTTTAAGTTCATCTATTCGATAAATTCAATGTTGAATGGCGCGAAAAGTATTTTGTGAGAATGTAAAATCTTGCTACTTTATCTATAAAAATACAGAAAGGCGAACTTTAAGAAAAAATCGAGCATGTCAATATCAGTCCTTTAAGAACACCGTATATTTCAACAGCAGTAAATCCACATGGAAAGTAAAAAATATTTAAAAGTGTCTCCTTACTATTGTGGCTGATTTTGAACACTTTTGTGCGTTGTGTTGGTGCTAGCCAAACGGCGCGTTGTCGGGTTTTAGTCTTGTCCTGTCTCTAGCGCGGCACGCCAAACGGCGCGTTGTCGTACGGCGTGTTGTCGCGATTTCATATTGTCGCTCGATTCAAATCGAAGGATTGGCTTGATACAAGCCAAGGGACAGGGCGACATCGCCACAACACGCCGCATGACACGCTGCATGACAACGCGCCGTTTGGCGTACATCGTTAGCGACAATCTCCTACGCAGTGATCTCCCCTTATCAGTACAGAGATCTCTGCCATCACAAACATTGAAATATCCAAATTTGGATATTTATATTTTTTAGCTTTTTAATTTATTTTTCATTATTTTGTGTACTTTTGATAATTTTTTGTTAAAATATAACGGACGTAGGTACAAAAAGTTAAAAATAAAACAGAAAGAGAAAAATGACGTTAGATTTTCTATGTAACGGTCGATATTTACATTTGAATTTCGACATTACGTCATGTGACTTTCATCATCATGTGACGTCTGTGAAGGCAGTGATTACAATTCTGCCAAGGGAGGTAATCAGTGTGAGGAGTTTGCGTTAGCGACAGGACAAGACGAAAATCCGACATCGCGCCGTTTGGCTAGCGCTTCGCTAGAGACAGGACGACAAGACAAGAGCAGAAGGTCCTGTCTCTAGTACGGCACGCCAAATTGTGCTTTGTCGTGCGGCGCGATGTCGCCCTGTCGCTGGCTTATAAGCCAATCCTTCAATTTGAACCTAGCGACAATGTGACATCGCGACAACACGCCGCACAACAACGCGCCGTTTGGCGTGCCGCGCTAGAAACAGGACGGCAAGACGACAGCGCGACAACGCACCGCTTGGTGCTTTGCCGTATTGTCGCTAGCGACAAGACGAAAAGGCGACAACGATATAGGTTGCGTCGTCGCTATCGACAACGCAACGCGCAATGTACCAAATCAGCCACCATATTTAGCCACCTTTCTTAAATTCAGTAACATGCGTAAGTTACGTGCCCAGTCAATTAGTTTAGTAACTAAAATTCAAATGTAAAAAAGAAATACTATTTTAGAAATATGAGCTTTGACTTGCTTGTGTGTTGTATTTAACAAATTTGAGAGTAAAATTTTAATTACTGATATCTGCAAATATTATGCAATTCCCGAGTACAAAGAAAAGTTTAACTTCACAACAGACATAAAATGCAACTGCTACGAAAGCATAGAATTTTAACAAGAAATTATCTTTAAAAAAATCTATAGAGGTCCAGATTGCTTCCAGGCCCAGGTAATCCACTGCCCCGCTTACCCTAACCGATAACCAACAACAGTTTACTACCTCTTCTTGTCAATCCTACAATAAAAAAATAACAATACCCCCTCCACAAAAAAACAGCAAAAAAAACGGTTTAACACATTTTAAAGTACATGTATGCAGTATTACCGCGCAAAAAGAAGCGGTGCCATGGTTCTGCATGATGCGGTACCATGTTTATCAAAGTTTTCTTCATTTTACAACAGTATTTTGCATTATTTGTATAAAACTGGTATGTTATCAGCTCGGGACAATGCTTTTTGTGATCATTTGACATATGATACTTCTTCCGACAGCTTTACTTTCAGAAAAGGATAAAAAATGTTCGCATTAAGAACACAATTGTTTCACATGTATAAAAGTGTTTTCATTAGTTTCAAGTTATAATAAACAAATATTGTTGCAAAATGTTTTGCACACCTAGATTAATCATTCAAAACTTCCGTGGTGTATGCAA